TTGCCAGGTAATTGTGGGGAGGAGCATACCTGGCTGTTGCCAGGTGCCTGTGGGGGTGCAGTTTAGACAGAATACTAACATTCCCCCATTTTGGTTTAATTAAAAAAGGAAAAAAATAGAAAGAGGTGGTAGCGAAGCAGGAATAGGGTCATTGTGATATCTGGCATTGGGAGTGATGTGTCTCTAGGGAACCCAGAAAAATGGATATGGGGAGTGTTTGTCCAATATTAGGAGAGTTGGCTGTTTCCTGCTGACCAGGGTCTGTGGAGCCATCTGAGAATAGGTGAGAAGGAACAGGTCCAGGAGAAGTGTCTGTGTGTGTGACAGTGTGACAGGAGATGGAGCATCTGGAGGTTGCTTCTCTGAAGCTGTCCTGGATGTGCCTTGACTTGACAAGATGTAGGAAATAAGATCAACTACATTTAGGAGAAAGAAAAAAATGTTTCTTAAAATGTACATTTGAAACCCAGAGGAATAGATAGTAAGTGGCAACTTTAGGCAGATGTACTTAGGCAGATGGAGTCTACGGGGTCCACGAGAGGTATATCTGAGTGGGTTTAAGATGAGCCTTTGTTGGCTCATATAGTGGAATGTTTTATTAGAGTTAGGCAAGTTTATAGGAACTCAGATAATTTAGGACAGTGGCATAGCAAGAAGAGGAAATATGAAGCATTTAATCAATGGAAACTGAGTTTGAGTAATGAGGTAACAGATAATATCTGTGAAAGCTTAAGCTGTCAATGTAGTCAGAAGTCTGAGAAAGAGTAAACAACAATCTACCAGTTATATATTTTAAAATTGACAGAGTCCACTAGCCAAAAGTTCCCATGGTATCTATGGTCTCTTGGGTGGGGTCAGTCTGGCTTTCAAGTGCAGAAGATGCAGGGCTTTTTCTCTGTGGAATGGGTATGAGTGACATGAGAAATGACTTACCTTGGTTTAGCCAAGTCATTTGACTCAGGGCATCCAGTTTTACCCACTGACCTTTCTTCCATTAACCACTGTCAAATAAAGATCAAATTCTGACTTAGTAAAGAGAGTATTTTTTTTTGAAAGACATTTGAAAAGAGAAAAAAGACTATAGCTTATCACTGTACTGCAGACCTTGTGGTCAGAAAGTCTGCAAGTACTCTAAAGGCTAGACAAGAAGAGTGGACAGAGAAGGGGCTGGAGGAAAGAACATAAGGAAGCCAGAGATCAATGGTGGGTATCTTCCAAAATTGCTCTCTACCTTATTTTTATAAGACAGCATTGATAGGCCACTGCTGGTGAAACGAGCCAACTTAAGCCAGATTAGCTTATATTAAAGGCAAGCAGGTTTATTGGGAAGGTGCTCTTGGGTGGGCAAGATTACTGGCCCCAAGTCCAGGGAAATCGCCATGGGGAACAGGGAAAGGAAGGGTAAGGGAGAAAGAGAGAAATGGGTCAACAAGGAGAGGGAGGGAGAGAGAGAGAGAGAGAGAGAGAGAGAGAGAGAGAGAGAGAGAGAGAGAGAGAGAGAGAGAGAGAGAGAGAGAGAGGATGATGTCTGGATTATATAGGGAAGAGCCTCTGAGGGAAAGCCTGGGCTGGAAAGTTCAGGTTGGGGGCAGGTACGCCAGGTAGGCACTGAGGAATTCTGGGAGAACCTGGATGCCAAGTCTGCTTTCATTTATAAAATATGCACCTCAGTTCTTTGTCCTGGGGTTCAAAACCAAACAAGTATCTCTCACTGAACCTTGATCTCACTGACTCTGCTGGACTGACAGGACAGCAACCCTGGGAACCCTTCTGTCTTTGCTTCTCCAGTTCTGGAATTGTAGGTGCTTGCCCCGACACTTGACTTTTTACTGAGAATTAAAAGCCAGGTCCTCATACTCGCAGAGCAAGCGCTTAACTGACTGCTCATCTTCCCAGTTAGAGCTTTTCTTTCACAGGAAAGAAATCCAAAGCTAGAAAATTCAGGAAATGAAACAGAAAGGTAGTGTCTTTTTCTCTGTCTGCTGATTCGGCCTATCGTTATCTGTAGTGTTTGAGGATACTCTCCTGCTGTTGAGCTCGAGATTTTATTTATTGCCTTTTAATTCTTTAACATAGAAAACGAGTTGATCAAGACCCCCTAGACTGTATCACTACCACAGCACCCAGAAAATGACTGCTGCACTGGCCTTGAGCAAAACCTCCCACTCATTTTTCCATCTCTACTTAGCAACGTTCCTGAGAACATGAAAACCGAGGAGGGCCGCATCCTGACTCATCCCTGCTGATCAGTAGATGAGTTCACTACGCTTTTCTAGTCACACTCCAAACCCAAGGCTAGCAGATCGATGCAGGGAATCGGTTGCTACTGCTGCTCCAGGTACCTCTGGAGTCAACCGAAAGAGAATGCTCGAAACAGAAAAGTGGTGCTGACTGCCACACCACTCCATACAGCCTGTCTCTGAAAGGAAATCACAGGCCAACTCACAGGAACCAGCCCTGCATGTTGTACTTGTGGGTTCAAATTATATATGACTTCTAAAACCATGTGGCTATTTTTCTTCTACATCGTTTTCCTACTTTGTAAAATAGGGAGAATTCATTATCTGAGTTGGAAGGACTACGTAAAACCGAGAGTAACAAACTGCTTTGCAAGGCACGACCCGGAAAAGGAAGCTCAAGCCGCCCACGTCTTTGACCCGAGGAGGGCGGAGCTGGGCATTGATTGCTCGGCGCTCCTCTAGGCTCCCGTCGCGATCAGCCGAGTCAGAAGTGATCGATGCTCAGTGCAGTCCATGGTAAGGTCAGCACCGATTCTTCGAAGAATCTTCGCGCCGACTGAACCAGTAGTCGCAAGCGACGAAAGACACAAGCCTGTTCAAGCGCCAGAGAGGTAGGTTGGAGCCCCATGGAGCGCGGGCAGCTGAAGTTGTTTAGACTTAGGCAGTGCGGGCCGTGAAGGACGATTTCGCGCAGGCGCCTTTGGAGGCCTGGGCGTCGCTCGAGAAGCCGCATGCGTAGTAGCTGTCTTTCTCCAACAAATGGTTGGAGAAGAAAACCCGGAGTGTTGTGTAAGCTTCTAGGGGTGTCATATTGCGGATGCGTGAAACTGCTGTGCCAATACGCTCGCCTTCTAGACTTTGGTTAGTGGTTCAAGTGTAGGGACAGGTTTAGTGGCGAGACCGGTTCGCATGAGTCGCCTGCGCAGTCTGTCCGAAAGGCATGGCCACGGCTGCATCTCTCCAATCTCCACCCTCGAACCCGCCCAAGTCCGCCTGTCCGCCATAAGCGGAAAGAGGTCCATGGCAACGACCAAAGACTCCCTGGGCGTCAGGGCGTCTTCTGCCGAGGCCACTTAACCAGCCCTCCCATCCAGACTGTGCAAAAGGGCATGAGCAGCTGGGTTTTTGTCGGTATTTTGAGAGAAGCACTGCACATGCTTTCCTAGAAGTTTGTTCATGCTAAGGCCTCCAGCAACCCGCTTGGCAACCAAAACCAGTTTGTGTAATTCGGCCCTTTTCTCGTCTCGTTTGGTTTTGTTGTGAGCAGCTGGAGGATTTAGTTCCTGCTTAGTTAGTTCACTTAGGAAGCCCAGATAGAACCACACAGATTAGATCCTGCACCCTTTAGCTGATATCCTTTCACAAAAAGGGTCGTTTTGTACACCAACAAATGGGCCTTTATTTAAAGACCGTTTAGAATTAAGGCTACAGAGATAAGTTATTTTGTGCAACCTGCACCTGGCCACTGAAAGCAGTGCCTTTTGCCTGACACGTGGACATGGAGCACCAGAAGGCCACTTTGCAAGCAAGGACACAGCCCCTACTACCTTCAAAAGCAAAACAATGGCCAACAAGGTGTCTTTAAGACCTATAACTGTTGCATTGTGGGAGAGAAACTTATAATGGAGCATATGAGGTCATTGAGGCTGGTACATGTGACCTGTGTTTGGGCGAGTATAGGTGTCATTTTACCAGCAATAATCTCCGGTTTTGTTTGTCTAGGCTCTTAAATTTATAGTATCCTGGTTTAGTTGGTGAGTTCCACAGTTAGGTCATCTATACCTGACTATCAGAAGCCTATTTATACAACTCACAATAAACATTTATATGGTACTCTGGGAAATCAGTTTAGAGGCTAGTCTAGGTACATGATGAAAGACTGTTTTATAAACCAATGGTTATTCCCTCCTGTGGCAGGCCTTTTGGTTAATACTGCCTTTTCTAAGAGACAATTCAGTGAGAGGGTTTAGGAAGCCAGGACATACTTAAAGCCAGATTACAGGGCCACTCAGTCTGGTCCCAACTCTGTCAGACTGGGATGTGTCGGAGCACTGGAGGGTTGACTTGAAGCCTAGGCTTGAGGCCATAGAGAAAGGCAATCCAGGCAGTATGCATTAGAAAGCCTACTCAAGCTGCCGGTTGTGTGAAGACTGTTGCTTTGGGCCCACACCAGACCAGCTCCTCTGCAGACATTCTTAGGATCCTACACAATGGACAATTGCTCAATCCTGGAGCTCTTATAAAGAAACCTTGACAAATTGGTTGTAAAACAAAGGCAAAATGTGGTTTCACCTGGTGCGTGGGTTATACCTATTAGCTATGGTTTTAGTTAGGGTTTCCATGGCTATGAAGATATACCATGACCAAGGCAACTCTTATAAAGAATAACATGTACTTGGGGCTGGCCTACACTTTCAGAGGTTCAGTCCATTATCATGGCAGGAAGCATGGCAGAATACAGGCAGACATGGTGCTGGAAGAGCCAAGAGTTCTCCATCTTCATTGAAAGGAAGCCAGGAACAGACTGTCTCCCATGTAGCTAGGAGGAAGGTGTCAAAACCCACCCCCACAGTGACACACTTCCTCCAACAAGACTACACCTCCTAATAGTGCCACTCTCTAGGCCATGCGTATTCAAACCACCACAGCTACTAACCCTGAGTTACCAGTAATGTGTCAGTGTCACGTTAAAGAAAAGCACTTCCCCTTACTGTCACTTAACAAAGAGTGAGTCCAGATTTGAATTCTCTACTTCATGCTCCCTGTGTCTTCTGTCCTCTGTCTTTCTGTTGCATGAGTCTAGATCGGTGGTGTCCACTTGATGAATCTGTTTAGTCCTGTGTCTGTGTGTTGTATGTGTGTCTGTCTGTCTTGTGTGTGACTATCCATCCCTCACAAAGGGCTTCACTCTGTATTTCTTGAACAGTACAGAAAGCATCACAAGGGGAAGAAATATGATACTTTATAGGCATCTTTAACCGAGTCTCACATGAGGTGAAGTTACGGACCAACTCCCACTGAGCCAGACAATAGCAGTCACTGTATTTCAACCAATATCCACAAATGCTGCTTTCAGCTTTTATGGTAGATTGCAGGAAGTTACTTTTAACTTTCAGCAAATGATTCAATGGCATCATCGGATTCAGGGACATGAAAGAGTACCGTACTTAATATGATAGTTCTGCATTAGCTTTGGTTGTTAAAGTTGAATTCATGGGAAGCCCAATACAAGTAAAGTTGATTGATGCAGTCTTCTAAAAGCAAGTTAAACTGTTTGAGTACACAGAAGCATGACAGCCTTAAGTGACCTCAAGGTGTATTATTAACTTTGGCTGTGAGGTCCAGCAAAAATTCCAGTCATTTAGAATATGAGATATTTACCTAATATTGCCCCAGCAAAACATGGCCGTCAGCAATTAACTGTAATTTAAATTGCTTATAATTACTAAGGCTAGCTCATGTGGCTGAGAGGTGATTTACTACAGCCAGTGTGATGCCCTCTCCCAGAAGGTTCTTTCATGTAGTCTACAATAGGAGGCCCTTATCTTCAAGTCCATTGGAAGTAGCAGCTTATAAATGTTGGGTTTCTGGAGCGGCAGGAGACAGAATCTGACATCGATGGATGGGACTATTTATTTCAAACAGTGGAGGACAGATACTCTCCTGTGGGAAAGGGGGTGCCTGCAAGAGGAAAAGCTGGTTGGACCCCTTCATAGAGGCAGGGTGCTAGGCTTAAGGAGAGGAAATGGTTGCAGCTGTGGAAAACTACATGTGGGTCTGCAGTCTCTCTTTGCTGGAATTCTCTGTCTCAAGCAGAACAGATTGTCTTGAAAGACAGGCTGTCTACAAACATTGCTGTCTGGGCTGAGCTGGCTGTGACTTGACTACATCTGGAATGAATTAAACTCCAGTGACTGCATACATTCCTGAGGGGTTCTTCTTAACTAAAGCATTTTAAATGGGAAGACTCACCTTTAATCTGGGCCATACCTTCTGGCATGCCTATATAAAGGACGTGGAAGCAGGAAACTTTTGCTCTTTGCCTGCTTGCCCTCACTCATGGTAGCAAGTTCACTCCTTCACTGGCATTAGAGACTGTTTCTTCAGGATTTGGGCATATACTGAAGACCAGCTGAGACACCTAACCTAGTGTACTGAACAGCTGCTGGATTCTTGGACTTTCTGTTAGTAGATAGCCATTGTTGGACTAGCTAGACCACAGCCTATAACCCACAAATCAATTGATATCTCTCTCTCTCTCTCTCTCTCTCTCTTTCTTTCTCTCTCTCTCTCTCTTTCTCACATACACATTATTTTATCAGTTCTTTTCCTCTAGAGCAACAGTTCTCAATCTGTGGGTCATGATCCCTTTGGGGATCAAATAATCCTTTCACAGGTGTCACGTACCAGATATCTACATTACTATTTATAATAGTAGAAAATTTACAATTATGAAGTATCAACAAAATAATTTTGGGTTAGTATTAGGCACAAACCATACACAAACACCTGTTTTCACAGAGAGATCCTTTATCAAGAAAGAATGTTAAAATGGCTGCTTGTTAAATGACTTGGACATAAAAATAGCAGCAAATGACTTCAAAGGTGTAATTTTTAAGAAGAGAAAAGGGGAGGTCTCTGTTAGAATGGACTAGCATGCTGTGGTATATTTTGATTGGCGTATTAATTAGGTGAACCAAAGGGGGCTTTTGATTGCTGGACTTTAGTACTTTGAAAGCTGGACCTTGGTAGTCAGTCTCAGAAGGAGGAAGTGGCCAAATAAGGGAATAGCTAGCTTCTGGTGGCTCACTTTAGGAATGTGATGTAACAGTTTTTAGCAACCCAGAGGGAATTGGAGAGATCAAGCAAGGCCTGCCAGAGCCATGCTCACCACGCCCAAACTGGCCAGAGTCCCTTCAGGACCTGTTTATCTGAGCCAGGTGTATGTGTGCATGGCTTAGCCAGGTCCTCTATGTTAGAGTCCCTTACAAGGCTATGGTCTGGGCTGAGTTCTCATTCAAAGACTCAGCTGCATAGGGGAAGAAGAGTTAAAGTGACTGCTTTAATAGACCTGTGCCCCTATGCCAGGTTCTGTTGGCAGTAGTCCATATGGACATGGGCAGCTACAGACATAGAACCTCGGCTTCTTGCTCTCTGTTAGCTACAGGCTTCTTTCATCTCTTCGCCATGTAGCCTTTCCAACATGGTGGCATGAGCTAACACATACTAGCTGACTGGTTAGTAGAGAGTCAGTGATGGTGCTAGCCCCAGGCATGTGTGGCCTGACCACAGAAGCAGTGTCCTGTCACTTCCCACTACCACTGCTTTCTTTTTATCTATGTATCTCATTTTATCATGAGCATGGTGTCTGTAAACTGCAGGCTTACACCTGGCAGATCTGGGGGCTGGGATCTGACCAGTCTTGCTGGGCTGAAATCGAGGGATCAACAAAGGCCCCAGGAAAGAATCTATTTCTTTGATTTTTCTCAGTTCCTGTAAGTTGCCCTGAATTCCTCTCAGCTTCTAGTCATCAAAGCCAGCCACTTTGCTTTTCTGTGACCATTCTTCTGAAGTCACAAGTCCTTCCAAATCTGGTGTTAGGCCAAAGCAATCCTTTTAATGTAATACTGAGCCCATCGTGATAATCCAGGATAATCTTCCATCTTAGGTCCCATTCTCAGCCACACTAGGTGACATACCATTCAAAGTTGGGATATGGCCATCTGTAGGGGCTGTCATCTGTTGGGCAGCAGAGACTAACTGCTGTAAGAAGCACCAGCCGCAGACTGCTAAAAGGCTAAGTGCACTTATTTTTGGCTTGGACCATTCCCCTGTGACTCTTCCAGGCTCAGTGGCCTTCCCACAATTCTAGCTTCCTGCCACGTGGAATTTTAATTCCATGGAGTCTGAGAGCCCCCCACTTCCACCTTTAGGGGACCTGTGGGCGGTATCTATGGCCAGGCATTAGTTACTGCATTCATCTCTGTAGCACTTGCTTCTGTCCCACTGAATTACATGGGAACCTTGCCCGACTGGGCCTGGAAGGAGGGAAAGGCTGTCTTTTCTGCCTGCTAGTGATGACACACACTTAATACCAGCACTTGTGAGGCAGAGGCTAGCAGATCTCTGAGTCTGAAGCCAGCGTGGTCTACAGAGTGAATTCCAGGATGGCCAGGGGAAAATATATAAAGGGTGTTTTTTCCTTTTTATTATTTTCTTTTACCCCAACCCAGGGGTGAAACTTCAGTACACAGAAGAACAGGACTCGGCAGAATACATCTGACATCCACTCTTTCTTAGAAATTAAGCTTTAATGGAACACAGCCACCCCTATTTGTTTATTCTGGTTCATGATTGGCAGACTAGTGGCAGCCGAGACTGTGTGGCCAACAAAGCCTAATGTTTCCTATTTGGCCATCTGCATTCTCTGCCAGAAACAGGATGATCCCGTCACTCAACGGCACAGGAGGCTGAGTTATTTCCCACACTATTTGGTGTTGTTGTAAGACTGTCTGACATATACTGGGGGATGAATAAAGAAAGGACGTTCCTTGGCTCACAATTCTGATGGCTGCAGAGTCCCAACAGCTTGGTATAGACATCTAGTGAGGGCTACCCAGCTGTGTCACCACATAGTAGAGAAGTGTGGGGAGAGCACAGATACATGTAAGGACCCAACATGAAGGTGAACCTCACTTTATAACAACCAGCCTTGTAGGAAGGCTTCTGTAAGACCGGCATTGACCCCTCCCACAGCAGTGCCCTTAATGACCTAAACACCTCCCTGGCTTCATGTCTTAAATGCCCCTCCTAAGGCCTAAACTCCCAGCCCATGAACCTTTAGGAATAAATCACATCCAACCTAGCAAATGCCATGGCTGTTAGGATAGAGCTGAGAACACAGAGCAGGACAGATAGCCATGGCTGTCTGCAAGCTGCAGGTCTGTTAGTGTTAGCATGGCGACATTGTCCACATACAACACTCAGGCTAAGCCACCAAGAAGGATTTGTGTTGGCTGATGATTTTAGAGTATCAGCAGGTTGCATGGCCCTGTTGCTCTAGACCTGTGACAGCTCAGTACGTCATTGTGGGAGCTCAAGGCGGAGGATGCCTCTTTACCTTATGGTGACCAAGAAACATAAGGCTGGGGTCATAATGTGTCCAACTGAAGGCCATGGCTCCATGACCTTAGTTTCTCCCCCTAGGCTTCAATTCTTAAAAGGCTACACCACCCCCAAGTACCATGATAGGCTGGGGACTAAGCTTTCAACACGTGGGCCTTTGGGGACACTAAAACTTCTGCACCTGTAGCTTTAGGCTCTTGGGAAACCAAAATGGATATGCCACAGCCCAGCCTCAGAGAGGCAGACCACACACATGTGCTTGCAGACATATTTTGTGACAAGTGCTATAAGAAGAGCCCAAGGGCTGTGGACACACCAACACTGAGGAGAGTGTCCTCAGACTTCACATAGATCATTCAGGATGGGCCTGAAAGGTTGGGTAGGAGTTTGTCAGGCAGAGGAGGCATGTTGGAATCATTCTAGATGAAGACAGCACTCATTTCTCTGAAAAGATATCTATCCAGAGTCTACTTAGTGCCAGGCACTGTACAGGTCCTGAACACAGCAGCCACCCCACAGGAAGGGCCTGCACCAGCAAGGCAGCAAAGACCTTGTCGGAAAGCACTGATGTGAGTACAAGGGCTGTGCGTGGTCTCTGATTTCCTGTCTTGTTCCTCTAAGGTACTGATCATGTCAGAGGACACTACAGAGCACCTGGTGGGGTCCAGCACCCTCTGGACAGACCTCAGGGTTCTCCTGCCTAACACTGAGGAGGAGCTGAAGCTGGACCTCGGTGAGAAGGTGGACAGGAGCATAGCTTCGTTGCTACAGCAGGCTGTGGGTCTATTCTATGCAGGCCATTGGCAGGAGTGTCTGCAGGCCAGCGAGGCCGTTTTGGACTACTCCTGGGAAAAGCTCAACATTGGTCCCTGGGAAGATGTAGACAAGGAATGGCGCCGAGTTTATTCCTTTGGCTGCCTCCTGAAGGCCCTGTGCCTGTGCCAGGCATCACAGAAGGCCAGTGCTGTGACTGAAGCACTACGGGTGTGTGACATGGGCCTGTTGATGGGGGCAGCCATCCTTGAGGACATTCTTCTCAAAGTTATTGCAGTCCTCCAGACACACCTGCTCCCTAGGAAGCAGCCTGCCTGTGGCCCCCACCAGGATCAGCCTGCTACCAAGGTGAGTCACCATTGAAAGCTGAACCATCCAGCAGCCCAGCCCATATTCTAGAAGAATCCAGTCCTCTCCCAGGGTACAGTCTCTGCTGAAAAGAGCATTATGAAGATTTGAGTAATTAGCAGCTGCAAAGGCAAGTCCCCTTTATAGAGGAGGAGGGAGCAGCTTCCTTAATCTAAGAGAGGCAGTTCTGAAGGAAATCCAGCACTCAATTCCCATGCTATACACTACTGATCAGACAGGGGCCCTTCGCTGTCCCTTGGGGCCTTACTGGAAGAGGGTATTGATTTAACAACTTAACTGAGCATCTGCAGCACTGTTGAGCCAGGGACCAGTGTTCTCACCACCTACTCTCAGAGAGATATCTCAGCTAGCTGACTGAGGTTCAAGGGGCCGGTGTGTTCTGTCCCTCTAGTCCTCATGGAGATTGGCCATGGTATTTAAGTGTCCCAGAGCAAAGGCTGCAGATACATAGTCCTCACCCAGCTTCCACTGGGTGAGACAGAGACCAATTCTCATCTGTGGATTGTCAGATAAATCCTGAGCCTCAGAGAGGAAGGGCTGGGGCTGTGCTGGATGCCAGCCATGGAATTCCGGACTGTTTCGTACGGATTCCTCAGTGCTTTCTTGCAGTTTTAAAATGTCCTGTTGAGTGTGACTTACAAATAAGATGGATGTCATTAGCACTTAAGTATGACCATAGTAGGAAGAGATCAACAAGCCAGGAAGAAAGGCAGGGCAGAACCTTTCACATGAGGAGTTGGAGGGGTCAGCAGGGAAAAGCTGAAGCCTGGACAGAAAACCAGTCCTGAAGACATAGAGCCTTAGTGAAATGTGCCTGGCCTCGACTTTGCCAAACAAAGAGAAGCTGGGCATGATAGCACACATCTGTAATCCCAGCCCCGGGAGGCAGAGGCACAGGATGGGGAGTTTGAGGCCAGCCAGATCTATAGTGAGAGTTCATCCGGTCCAGCAGGGGTTGGGGGGTGGTGAATAAATAATAATAATAAGTTACAAGTTAAGAGAGAAGCAGACAGCTCTGGAGACTACCATCAGCCATTGTTTATGTGATGCTTGGTGACAGACACTAAAGATATGTGGGGCTGCAGGGTAGTGTGCTGCTTCACACGTTAGAGAGAATAGTCTACAGTTCAAGAGACAAACTTGTCACCTTTAACCTAAGGGCACACACCTCCATCTTCCCATCAGTGTGTCCCAAGGGGATATAACAGTGGACTCCTGCCCATTGTGGTCCTCACTGGAGTAGGGGGCAGGATGCATAGCCAAAGAGGAGAGCACAGGCTCTTCTGTCAGCCTGCCTGGCTCAGTTCCCATGCTACACCCTACTGATCAGACAGGGACCATTCTCTGTCCCTCGGGACCTTACTAGAAGAGGGTATTGATTTAACAACTTAACTGAGCATGTATACAGAATATCACCCCCTTCACCCCCACACCTTGTGTTCCTATAAGGCTCTAGAAGAATCCTGTCTTGCTAGAGGAGGGGTGCAGGCTTCTGTGAGGGGCTGTACACACAAGGCCGATGTTGAATGGGGACAGTATAAAGGAAGCAGGGACAAGAGAGGCCACCCAGTGGTCCTGGGTACCACATGTGGGTACTGTTGTCACCACCAGTTCACAGAAGAGGAAGTGGAGGCTCAGGCATGGTAAGTGACCTACCTGCTCAGCTTACCCAAGGGAACTGGATGAGTAAAGTACAGTGTAGCCATTGTGTGACACTGCAAAGACTGAATGGCCGTGTGGAAGCTGCCTAGGACACAGTGCTTAGATGCCAGGCAGAGCTACTCACTCTTCAGGACTGCTGTCATTTGCAGTGCTCTAAGATTGTGAGATAGCAAAGGAAAAAGGGACCTTGAGTTCATGAAAGCAAAAGGTGTAGAAATGTTATCTACTGCTGGGTATAGTGGATACTCTGGAATCTGAGGCAGGGGGATTCTGGGTTCCTGGTTATTCCACACTTTCCTACTGAGATCCTGTCTCAAAAACACAAAAAAATAGCTCCATGTAATGGTGAACACCCTTACCCTTTGCACTTGGGAGACAGAGGCAGGTGATGTCTGTGAGTTTGAAGCCTGCTAGACATGTTAAGACACTGTCTCAAAAACAAAACAAAGCTTGGGACTGAAGGGATAGCTCAGACGAACTGGCCACCGATGTAGGAGCACTGGATTTTGATCCCTAGGACCATGTAAAAACTTGGCATTGTGGCATGTTCTTGTCATCCCATAGCTGGGGAAGTGGAGTTAGGTGGATCCCAGGGCCTTGCTGGTCAACCAGCCTTGCTAGAGTCAGTGAGCCCCAGGCCAAGGAGAAAACCCCATCTCAGTAAGGTGGACGTGCATGATACGTAGTGACTGCCAAGGCTATCTGCCACACACATGTGCACACAAATAACTGCCTCTGCTGTTAACACTACCCAGACATCCTGCCACTGACCCAGATTCCTGAGACAGTTACCATCATCTTTGTTTGGATTCTAAACAGAAGGCAAATTGTGATGCCAGCTCAGCTCCCGATGTGACGTTAGAGCAGGCAGTGCCCAGGCTTCGCTGCCCACCTCTGCAGTACTTCAAGAAGCACTTTCTAGTTCCTGGGAGGCCTGTGATCTTGGAAGGTGTGGCTGACCACTGGCCATGCATGAAGAAGTGGAGGTGAGTAGCCACCATATGGAACTGAGGTCCTTCCTCCTGAGTGTCCCCAGGACTCCTCAAACGTCTCTTTTGGCCACTCATAAGTCACTGCCCCAGACCAACTTCAAAACCCCTTGATTGATGACAGAGGATTAATGAAGACTCTGAAGTGGGGTACCCTGTGGCTGGCAAGATGGCTGTGAAAGCGTATTGTCAGGAGTTAAAACCCCAGGACCCCCGAGAAGCACAAAGTTGTCTTCTGGCCTCACACAGGACAGTCACGTCTCCTTTCCTGCACATGGAATATTTTTTAAATGAACATTTAATGGGCCATCCTGAGTGTGTGCAGTGGTCTAAGCTGTCACTGACTCACTCAACCTGAGCATAGCCTTGCAATTGCCTGAGTAACAGACTCAGAGAGACATTAGGTGTTCATGCAAGATCTTAGAGATCCCCCAGCGCTTCCTTCTCTGGGCCCTGAGGCCATGACTGCCTTCACCCAGGAGACAGTTCCTGCTAGGATTCAGAGAGGCCACATTAACGCTTCCTGTAAGGGTTGGAGAATCCTGACATTTCAGCATCCACAGGGGCCATGTAAACGTACCCTGGACATTCTGGGAAACAGCTGTCGCTCATGAGGGTGGGCTGAGTCAGGTTGGCCTGTTGTGAGTTTGTGGAGGAAGTAGCCCCTGAGACTCCAGTGAGGAAGAATTGTGGGAGCCACAGCAGAGCAGTCATGCTCCAAATGGGGGCAGGTACTGGCATCACCTCCTTTAACAGATGGGGAACAGGGATTCAGAAAGGTTAACTCACTCAAGAATCCTGACTCACCCCAGCTATCAGAGTTCAGAGCCTGCACTCCTCACCCCATACTGCCTTCCACCTGTCCCAAGGTTTCTCAGCAGTGACAGAGGAAAGTGAAGAGTCAGCAGGATTGTGGATGACAGAGGTGGTCAGGGCAGTCTGTGTGACAGGCTGAGCCTGAGGGTCGGGCATGGTGAGGTCAGCCATCCAGATCCATATGCAAAGCCGCCTCAGCTGTGAGATCTCAGGCAGGCAGCCTCACCTTTCTATTGTGAGAACCTGTCAGGAGAGTGAGGGCAAGTGTCCTCCTCATGAGGTTTTGCATGAAAAGAACAGAGGAAACCATTCGTAGATGTCAGCAGCAGTGATGCATGCTGACACTCTGGCGATGTTCTTGTAGTCTGCAGTACATCCAGGAGATCGCTGGCTGCCGCACTGTCCCCGTGGAAGTGGGTTCAAGGTACACAGATGAAGACTGGACCCAGATTCTCATGACAGTCAATGAGTTCATCCACAAATACATCCTGAGCAAGGTATATGCAAGTTACTATTTAACAGATGTTTAGTGTGACTGAACTTAAAGGTATGTCATGTATATCTCAGCATGATTTTTAAAACAACTTCCAGTGAAGAGCAGCAGCACTTGGCTCTGTGCTACACCTGCATTGTTTTCTTAAAGGAGAAGCTGCAGGGGCTAGTGGCTCAGTTAGACAGAGCAGAGCTGCATCCCGGGCCCTAAGTCTTCTGCCCTTCAGCTCTATCCTGCCTGGGAGGTCACTGATTACATCAGACCCCAGGTTGGGGAAGGGACCACTTGGGACAGTGGTGGGTGGGGCCAGGGCCAGGACTCAGCATCCAACTACACAACAGGGCCATCAAGAGATGCCTGACACAAACTAACTGATGGTCACCTCTGCTTTCCTCCTCTGCGTCAGACAAAGGATGTCGGGTACCTTGCTCAGCACCAGCTGTTCGACCAGGTGAGTCTGAGACCATGTTCCTGCCCTGCTCCTCTGCTCCCAGTAAGCACACACGGCTATCTTCTGGTGTTACCCTTTGGAGCGAGGGATCCCCCTGATTACCAAAGGCAGCAGTGGAGCAAATTGAACTGCCAGGCTGGAGAGATTGAGTATGCTGAGACTGGGGGCCCAGTTTGGATCAGGATGACCTACCAAAGACTTAAAGGTGCAGCTTGGCTGAACTGGAGTAGGATTGGGTGGGAGACTATTTCCATTAAGAAACTCCCCAGCACCAAAGCTTTAGGAAAGTGTGGAGACCACCAGCCAGGAGGTTACACAAGAGTGGGAGAGCCAGGTGGTAGAGGCCTGAAATGTCATACAGGACTCTGGATTTAATCAGGAAACGATGGAGGCCTGTGAGGTCCCTGATGAGCAAGAAGGCTCCCTGGAGATCTCCAGCAGTATAAGAAATAAATGCAAGGTTTCTGAACAGAGCAGATACTGCTGCCTCCTCTCCCAGAGCAGGCCCTTAAGAGCAGATTACTAGGCCTGCCCCTCCTGGTGTTAGCCCACTGCCACCCAACACATCATCTGCATGTATGACCATCATGTGAGAAAACAGACTCTATGCATCAGCAGCTAGACTGCCTTTCCATGTTGAGCTACCTGTACCTGGGTGTGGTGCACACACCTTGAATCTAAGCACTTGGGAGGCTGAGCTGCATAAGGAATCCTTCCAAGCTGTCTGGTTAAGATACTGAGACAGTGCAGAGGGCTCATCCTGGGGATGGCCCTACCTGCTTATCTGGAGCCTTGGCCAGGGATAGAAGGCAAAGCTGCTGTTATCTTTAGGGTGAGTCAGAAGTGTGTAAGGCTATTTCAGGCAGATTATACTGTCTGTCCCTCAGCACTAGTTTTTCTCTGCTGTTCAGAGCACCTCAAGGAGGAGTTTGAGCAGCCATGTATCTTGGGGACTGGACACAGGCTCTTTTCTAGGACCTCTGTGTCTATAGGAAGCTTAAACTACTGACAGGTGCTTGCCAGGAACCTTACACTGACATTCCTCCCAGTGTGGTGTCTTGGAAGCCTCTGGCCACTGCCTTGGGCTTGGCAGTAGTCACATCTCTGGAGCATGTGTTTTCTGAGGGTCTCTGAATCCTTAGTCAAGGATTTTGATATACAGCCAACCAATCACCCTTTACAATTCCTGATGACATCATCAGGAACCAATCAGAGTGATGCTCAGCATCCAGGAGCAAGGCTTGGTCCCATTCAATCAAAGCAGTAATTTGGTATGCTCGGAGCCTGGGGTTCTAGCCACATTGGAGATTGTGGACTACCCAGTTCTGCTCAATTGCTAATAAGACCCTTCCTCACCACTAATTTGCTCTGAATGCCCGCTTTAGTCCCCTGGTGGCTAGGAAATGTACTCAACTTGGTCCTAGGGCTCTCTTTTCTGGCTTCTGAACACTGTTCAATAAACTCCTTTCTTCTCAGAGTAAGTTTAGTAGGAAGCCTACTTTGCCAGTCTTTGTAATAATTTATTTAAAATATACCAGTTGCAATTTCCTTACTGGTAGTAACTTTTTGAAAATTATCCTCCAGAGATCTGATAAATATCCAGTACATTGGACTTTTGAGGATTATTTGTTTTTGAAATAAGATCTCACTGTGTCACCCATGCTTACATCCTGGGTCATGCTTGTCATACTCCTGTCTCAGCTTGCCAAGTGCTGAAATTGCAGGTATGCACCAACAAGCCCAACACCTGTGGGTTTTTTTTTTTGTTGTTGTTCTGTTTGTTTTGTTTTTTGGGGGGGTTGTTTGTTGTTGTGTTTCTTGGTAATGGTGGTGGTAACTTAACTCTTGCCTGGTATGGTGACTAATGTCTTAATGCAAGCAGAGGCAGATGGAGTTCTGTGAGTTCAAGGCCACCCTAATCTACATGGTGAGATCCAGACCAGACAGAGCTATAAAGTGAGCCCATCTCAAAACAAAAGAAAATATTACTCATCAGTAAATTACAGCATTTTGTCTTTAAAAAAAAAAAGTATAAAGCAACAATACCAGGTTTCTAAAAAGAAAATATCTATGTGATGTAGAAACAAATATGAAGCAAGATTATAATTCATCTCTATTATTTCTAACTATGAACTTGAGCTAGGTAGGATGGCACATATGTGCTCTATCTGCACTTGGGAGGCTGAAGGAAGAGGATGAGAAATAGAAAAACTGTCTGAAAAACTAAAGAAGTGCATCTAGGAGTGCGTGTATTTATCTGTCAAGCAATCAGATATCAGCAGGGCCCTGGCTGGCATACCTAGACCTAGCCTCTGCTTTCTGCTGCTACCCTCAGATCCCAGAGTTGAAGCAGGACATCAGCATCCCGGATTACTGTTGCCTGGGCAATGGAGAAGAGGAAGAGATCACTATCAATGCCTGGTTTGGTCCCCAAGGCACCGTCTCCCCACTCCATCAGGACCCCCAGCAGAACTTACTGGTCCAGGTAGGAGTTGCTGCCAGACAGGAGCTGAGTAAGGAGCTTGTGATGGTAATAACCATAATCCTAGCACTTGGAAGATTCAAGGCCATCCTCTGCACATAGCCAGTACAAGACAAGCCTGGGTGACATGACACCTAGTCACAAAAGGGAGGGAGGGGGAGATGGAAAGGGAGGGGAAAGGATATAGACAGAAAAACAAAACAGTCCTGTGGCCCTGGGATTGGGCTTCTTCCAGGTCAAGGCTGCATCCAAGTGGGATTTCTCCGGGGCCAGAAAGCTCTTGGTTGGAGGCCTAGCACATTCTAGCACCTGCTAACCTCTCCTACTCTCACTGCCAGCTTGCACCTGTGGATAAGGGCTTCCAGCCACTGATAAGATGTTTCCAGAGACTCAGTCGGGTTTGTCTCAAGGGAACCAGCACATACCCACTGCTGTAAAATCTTGTTACTGGCCCAACTGCTAGAAACTTAGTAAATGAGAGCATTCTTGAAGAGCACTGGCCAGCCCTGCTAGGCAGCTCAGTAGCAGCCAAGAGCCAGGTCCAGAGAGCCTGCTGCCTGGCATAGTACAGCTGCCACCTTAGTCAACTTGGGCAGTTCACTTACCTCTGTGCCACAAATCCTCACAGCCGAGGGGAAGAGGAAACCCCTGAGATGAAGCCAGGCCAACACTCAGTGCTGGGCTGAGCTTAGCTACACGTCAACACTGATCTTTAAGGTACCTGAAGGTGAGCACTCTCAGAATCTCAGAGCATGTGGTGTAGCAAGGCAACAGCAGATAGACCACAGAAAGGCCTGGATGGACAGGTCCACAGGCCTGCAGTCAGTGGGTCCCACAGTTCACCACCTGAAGCTAGTGGGCCTTCTCTCCCAGGTGTTCGGAAGGAAGTACATCCGGCTGTATTCTCCGCAAGATTCTGAGGCAGTGTACCCTTACGAGACACCCATTCTTCATAACACCAGCCAGGTAGGTAACACAGGAAATCAGGGTGACATGGTGCCTTCTGTCTGTACAGACTAGCAGATGACTTCTGTTGCTTTCTGCAGGTTGATGTGGAAAACCCCGACTTTGAGAAGTTCCCCAAGTTTGCTGAGGTCCCATTCCTGTCCTGCATTCTGTCCCCAGGAGACACCCTCTTTATACCTGCTAAGTACTGGCATTACGTGCGCTCCCTGGACCTAAGCTTCTCTGTCAGCTTCTGGTGGTCATAGCCAGGGCCAGCGTGGAAAGGAATCTCCAGGAAGACACCTTACCCAAAGGCAGTAAACCCAGTGACAGTGTGGGCTCTGGATGCTGCTAGACTCCAGCAGTCCTCCCCCACCCCCCAACCAGTATCTGTTAAGATATGTGGGGCAGAGCTATTGTGTGTACCCACGTGTGTAGGGCAGAGCTGCTATATGTACCTAAGCTATCGAGATTATAGATGCTTCTTTCCTCCTAACTGCTGGACTGAGTATCTTCCTTGCTGCTGGGGTATCCAAGTGCTGCTGGCAAGCTGCTCAGAGGAGGCAGAACACAGTCTGTAATAGGGGTCCCCGGTCCATGTTTTCTTGGGAGTATTTTCTCAGGTGTGAAACAGCAGGGTCTGGGGTGGTTGCTGTGGTCTCCAGTCTTTTCTGTGTACCCAGGTGTTGCCACTGGCTTACCACTAGCAGTTGGAAACAGGTCCTTGGGTCCATGCTTCCCCTCAGGGCATTTATGCAGCAGGCTGGAAGGGGAAGGCAGAGCCTAGGATGGGGGCAGAACTGGCTTGGTTCTGAGTTGGGTGTCTGAGAATAGGGAGGGGCTGTGAGAGAGGTCTTCTCCGGGAGATATAGGCAGATACAGGTAGGGCCCTTTACAAGGAAGCCCCTCTCCCCAGGTGATCTTTGATGAAGAGATGGTCCTTGCTCATTCAAACTGTTTTTTTTGATGGTGGATGCATACTCCTTACTGAGGGTGAACCAGGGATTAAATACCTTTTGTGGGAAGGAATGCCCAGGAAGGGAAGCTCACTGGCTGAACACTAGGAGCCTAGCTAGATACCTCATTAGCATGGACAATGCCAGGTCTGTATGCATTGCCCTAGTCCTCTCAGTGGGGTGTCATAGTTACATGTGATCAGGTAATTTGGCAGGGCTCTATCCCATCCATTCTCAAGTCTGAGACTTCCCCAGAGTCTGAGCCTGCTCCTCCGCCTTCCCAGTTCATCTGTCTGGTGGCATGGTCTACTTGCCCCATATGTAACTTAAATATTTTCAATAACACAATAAAATATATTTTCTTAATTAAAAAACAAAAAGAAACATTTCTTTAACCAAACTCTCTTGCTGCCTGTGGGTAGGGCAGGCAACAAGAGGCATTAGGAAGGGATGAAAAGTGTGAACCTTGGAAAGGAAATACTCCCATCTGTGGACTCTCTTGTGGGAAGTACTGAAGGAGGCCGGCTCAGAGAATCAGAGACCAGAGCGCAGTCAGGACCACTGATGAACTGGTAGCCAGGCAGGAGCTGAGTCTTAAGGCCAAGGGGCCAGCATAGTGAGTGGGAGGCTGGCAGTACAGGCTGCAACTAAAGGTGTTTAGAGCGTGCGGGCTCAGCTTCAGATGGATAGGCCTGGCTTGTTAGTGGCTTATGTAAAACCTGGGGTTCCTACAGCACTAGGCCCCTGTTCCCTGCTTCCCCTCCTCCACCTCTAGTTTCTACTTGGTTTCATTGTTTTCCCTTTTCTGGAAGGGGGAGAACAGCTCTGACTCTATCTCCCTCCCCATATCTTGACTCCCAGTATCAACTGCTGGTCCTTTCAGTTCATACCAGGAGTCAGGCCAAGGGGATGGCTGATGATTGACAAGCCTAGCTCACAGCTCCACCTCACCCCACATGACAAGGTGACCAGGCCAAGGAATCTGAACTTGGTCACACAGGGTCTGGGAGGACAAACCATCAGAATATGTCCTTTTATAAACAGTTAGCCTTGGCAGGAAGGGATGTATAGCAGGCTGAGGTAGCCAGAAGCCTGGAGTAGATGGCATCCTGTCTGGTACAGTTAATTGTAACGGTCTGTTCTGCTGCTCCGGTCCAAGGGTCAGGGCCTAGCAAGAGAGACTGGGGACGGAGACACGAAGAGTGGAGATGAGACAGAGTCTGCTGAGTCTGCTCTGGAGACAAAGTCTGTTCTTTTATATCTCTCCTCAAGTCTGGCCTTGAATCTTGCCTGAGTCTCTCAAGTGCTGGGATTAAAGTCGTGTGCCACCACTGCCTGGCCTTGATTGAAAGGATCAAGATAATTATCAGTGTGTTCAGCTGTTGTGGGCTGTTGAAAACAAGTCTCTTGTCAGGGTATATGGCTCAAGATGGCTGCAAAGATGACAGCCGCTTTCTGCTCAGAGTCGGCTCCCAACAGTTAATCTCACCTGGACAGTTACTAGAGTCAGTGCTGCTGGGTAAGGCATAGAGTAGGAGAGCTAGCATGCCAGCTTGTGTAACCTGAGGGGGAGCCACACATCCCCAGGGGTCAAGCACAGGCACACTTTGCTAGGTGTGCAAGGATCAGCTGTGTGGCTCCAGCTTCCTGCAGTGGCCTGTCCTTTACAGCATCACCCGTGACAGCTGACAGGCTCCATACTCTCCTGGTCCATTGCTGAGGATCAGGTGACCATCATCAGGTGGGAGGCAGGGGGATGAAATGGCTTTACCTATGGGCAGGTCTCAAGATGGCTGGAACCTGCCTGCAGGGCTCCCTTCTTACTGGGGAGTGTAGACTCTCAAGTTGACTTGGAATCACAGTGCCAACAGGCCCTTCAAAGCCAAAAAAAAAAAAAAAAGAGCAAGTGTATAGATCCACCAGCCCATCACTCATAGCTCACAGGATCTGCTCCACACTAAGGCCCTGAGCCCAGCCCTGGAGACATGGCACTCAGCCACACGGGCCTCCTGTTCTCCCGGTGTTAGACACACCATGGAGTAGGGATCAGCAAGACCAAAATATGACAAACCGAACCAAGTGCATGTGCAACACGAAGGCCATCAAGGAGGGCTGGGGGACATGTTGGGTAGCTGACATGGAGGGTAAAATGATGAGGGACAGAATAGGACTTCAGACTGGCATTAGGACTCACAACAGCAGGGACAGTGGCCTGTTCTGGTTGGTTGGTTGGTTTTTGATTTTTTTTTGTTTATTTTTTTGCTGTCAACTTGACACAAGCTAATCATCTGGGAAGAAAAACCTCAATTGAGAAAAATGTCTCTGTCAGACATCCCTAGAGGCAAGTCTGTGGGGCATGTTCTTGATTATTGATTAATGTAGGAAGGCCCAGCCCATTGCAAGTGGTCCCATCCCTGGGCAGGTGGTCCTGGGTTATAAAGCAGGTTCAGCAAGCCACAGAGAGCAAGCCAGTAAGCAGCACTCCTCCGTGGCCTATTTCAGTTCCTGCCTTCAGTTACCTCTTACCTTGTGTTCCTGCACTTAGGATGGGCTGAAAGCTGTAATAAGAAGTCTATCTCTCCTTCCCAAATCCCTTTGGCCATGATATTTACCACATCAATTGGAATAAAGTAGGACAAGGCCCAAGAAAGACAACCAGGCCCAGAAAAGGAAGAAACAGTGCAGCTGAAGCAGTATTGGCTGTCAGTGAAGCCAGCTAACCAGTCTTAAATGCCACAGGGTAGACAAAGGCCTGCAAGTGGGAAGGTTGTGAGCTGGGAGAAGCAGAAGAGGCCTGGTCCAGTCAATGATTCCCGAGGGACCAGAGGGCAGGACAGACTATAAAGGCCTACATGAATATCAAACTAAGATCTGGAAGGTGAGGGTCTTGGGTACCATGATAAGAGAAAGGGTAGAGGCATGGAGACAGGTGGCAGGAAGGCTGCTATCTCCAGAGCTCCTTGGTCACCCTCAGTGATGGCCTGAGCTGTACCACTGCGACACAGGATAATCAGGCAGCTGGCCATCCCAAAGCAGGGACTGCAGAGCCACTCTTCCAGGACC